AGAATAGGGTTTGGGGAGTGCTGGAGAACCTGGATGAGAGGTTGCTACTCCAACCCCCATTTTTCTGTCCTTATCAACGGATCCCCCAAGGGATTCTTCACCTCCTCTAGAGGTCTCAAGCAAGGAGACCTCTCTCACCTTTTACGTTTGCCATTGTTGCCGAGGTGTTTAGCAAGTCCATCCCTTGTATGTTCCATACTCTGGGCGATTGAAAGGCTTCAAGAGTAGACCTAGGTCCCCATAGGTTACTCACCTATAATTCATAGATGACACCCTCATTTTCTGCAAAGCTTCCCCTTAGGAATTGGATTCTCTTCTCCTCTTCCTTAAATGTTTCAAATTGGTTACTGGCTTCAGGGTCAATTTGGCCAAATCGAAGATGATCGGGGTGGCTTTGGATCTCCAAGCTACACAGCACTTCGCTGCAAGGTGGGGGTGCCAATGAGAAACTTAGCCTTCCAACGACCTGGGATTGCCCCTATGTATTGGCACACCGAAGGAGAGACAATGGTCCCATATTATTGACATCTATTGGAGACTTGCAAGGTGGAAGGATCGCTTCCTTTCACCGGTATAAAGAATCACCCTCATTAAGGCAACTCTCTCCAACATCCCGATATATCAAATATCTCTCTTCGATATGCTCGCAGCTGTGACCAACTGGCTCGAGCAACACATGAAGAAATTCCTCTGGTCCGGTGACGCCAGCAGCAGAAAGTTTCACCTTATTTCGTGGGAGAAAGAATGCAAGCCTAAAAGACTCAGGGGCCTTGGTTTCCGAAACTTGAGAAAGCACAATATTGCTTTCCTTGGGAAATGGAGGTGGCTTCTTGCAACCCTTAAGAATCAATTGTGGTTTCAGGTATTCTATCAAAAATACCGCCTCAACTGATTGGATGCCATACTGTAGGGCCAACTGTAGATCCTCAGGGGCTTGGAAATCCATTTTCATCTCTCATAGCCTCTTCAAGAACCAGATTGCTTCCACCCTAGGGAAGGACGACGTATTAAGTTCTAGTCAGACCTTTGGATTAGGTATACCCCCCTCAAAGAACTCGTTCCATCCCTCTATTGCCTCACCTAAAACCAGCTGTCCTGTCTGGCCAATGAAATGGTTGCCTCGGGATCCTCTAGAACTGGGAATCCCACCTTTAGAAGGCCTCTCAATAACTTGGAGACTGCTGATTTCATTCACCTTTCCTCCTTACTCCATTCTACTTTCCTCGCCTTACAAGGTCCTAACTGCATCATTTGGTGGCCCTTTGAAGGGTCTTCTTGGTTTCCTCTTTTTGCCATAAGCCTCTTCAATTGCACACTTTTCCTATAGCCCCCACTTCAATTGTTGCTCATGCCCGGTCTTCCATTGCTCCACCTAAAATCCAAGTCTTCAATTGGATTGCTTTGTCGGAAAGAGCCCTCACGGTGGACCAGCTTCAAAGAAGAGGACAGCCCATCCCCAATAAATGTGTGATGTGCATGTCAAATGAAGACAGTAATACCCACCTTTTCATCCTTTGCTCTTTGGCCTAGGACCTTTCGGGCGCTATCCATTCATTATTCAAGTGGCAATGCGTTACACATCCTCCTTTGCTCTTTGGCCCAGGACCTTTCGGGCACTATCCTTTGATTATTCAAGTAGCAATGGGTTACACATCAATCAACCCCATGCCTTTCCCAAGCCCTCTAAAATTTTCCTTATTCCAAATTTGGCATCCTCTAGTGGAAGGCTACGGTAGCGGGAAACAACGTGATTTTTCAAGGGGAAAGATCCTCGCCGATGTCCCTCTTCGACAAAATTAAATCCACGGTCATCTTTTGGGCATCTAACCACAAACATTTAAAAGGTTTCCCCCACTCTGCTTTCATCCAAGATTGGCAAGCACTTCTTTTCTCTAGACCGTCTCACATCCCCCGTGCTTCACTGTGAAGACCACCAAACCTAGGCCAGATCAAACTCAATTTTGAGGGTTGCTCCCTTGGCAATCCTGGCCCCCTAGGCATAGGTGGAATTTTGAGAAACCATGGGGGCCACACCTTTGAATCCTTCTCCAAGCATAATGGACACTTTGACTCTCAAATGGCAGAGGCCCTTGCCTTGCTTGAGGACCTCAGATTGTTCAATCCACAGTGGATCCCTTCCTTAATTGTTGAGAGAGATTCCAAGAACGTGATTCGTTGGGCCTCGGCTACTTCTTGCCACTGGTCACTTGCCCATATTTTTTATGAAATTGCACATATTTGTAGGGATACGGATGTCTCATGGAGGCATATTTGGCATAAGGCCAACTTGGAGGCCGACAGTCTTGTTAAGGAAGGAGCCATCATCAGTATTGCGTGACCCCAGGAACTTCTTTGTGTTTCTTCTTGTTACCATCCTGTGGGCAAAATTTTTTGTAACTAGTATTTACCTCACCTTCTTAGTGATTTTTTTGTACAGGGCCTACCTTCTACTTATCTGTGGGTAGTCTTTATATGTTTTGTACAGAGCTCCTGCCCTGCGGGTTGGGATACTCATACTTTGTTCCTTCTTCAATAGAACAGAACAGTCAACAATTTCAAAAAAAAAGAAATTGCCAGATCACGGGAATTTTAGCAGAAAAATTATTATGACGAAATATTTAAGTCAGTAATTTAGATATTTGTGGACAAGTTTCTTGAGATTGAGAAACTTGTAGGAAACATTTTTACATTAGCCAACAGATTTTTGAGAAGCCCAAATGTTACTTTGTTCCACTAAAATATTTCTAAAGGGGTAGGAAAATTTTAGTATATATAAAGAACAGCCTCTAAAGGCATTTATGGAGAGACATTTCAGTTTTAGGATGGTTTTTTGGGGTCACAATGAAAGTACGTCTTACATAGGCTCATGAGGGATTGTCAAACAAATCAAATGGGTAAATAAAAGTGAGCAAACTCAAAGTGACAAACTGTTTAGAACTTCTCTTTTATATTTAAGTTTGGTTTTGGAAGAGGGACACAGATTATAAGAATTGACCTTGGATGAGGTTTTCCATTGCCACAAAGCCTAATTGGAACCTCATTTTGGAAGATCCCATAGAAGTTACAGAAGTGAGCTTTTACAATATTGAGCTATGGCCATTATAGAAATAGCCCAAAGTTTGGGTGGAGACAAGAAATCAAAGAGGTTTATATAGCATTTGTAGCGAGTGGCACACTTTCCAGATATAAAATAAGCTATGGTAAGAGAGTTTTTGTAGGGTCCTCCCGGATGTAGTTTATATCAGAGGCTTCTTCAAACTCAGCCTTATCTCTCAAGAGTGAATTGCATTATCTGGATCAAGTGGAAAGGATTTCTCAGCATATACATATTGGGATTTCTGTTTTGGTCCGACAGTTGAAATTATAAAACCCCAAGTCTAAGGAAATTTGAGATCCTATGTGAACTAGCTATATGTCATACCAATTTTCAATATCCAAAGCTTTATTGAGGAAGATGGTGCTAACTAAGAACAAAGAATTGTGTGAACAATGTCCTAGGAAAATATCATTTAGTGACAGAGACGGTAGAGGCGGTGAAATTAGTCACGCCAAAGGTGGCATTAGCATTGACATCGGTAGACATGCAGTCAAAGACGGCGAAAGTGGTGACACCTTAAATGATTGGGAACTCAGGGAGTGGCACTTTCAGTCTAATAGAAGGTTGGTTACGTACAAAGTGAATTTTAATTTTTTTTATTGATTAGAGCCATTTTCAGAAGGACTTTGCAAATGGCAACACAATTGGTGTGCTAAATTCCTTGGCATCAAAAGATAACTGAGATAACTGAGACAGCCAACTTAAATCCAACCATTAGAAAAATCTGGCATTTTTCAATATTTCATTTAGGGTTCTTTGTCCTTTGCAATAACCACTACTTAGATCTATCAAGTGAAGTGTACAAATGTTGAGAATGAACCTTAGGGGAAAGGAAACATTTTGTGCTGTTCAGATCGATACTAACAATATAAAAAGAAAAAAGAAAAAAGCTAGATCGTAGAGAACAAGGAGAGGAGTTAAGCATTCATGAGAGAAGAATGGAAAAAGGCAGTTTCCCTTATTGAGGAGCAAGTGTTTGTGTTTAGCCTATGGATACATGGTTTAGAATATGAAAGGGTGTAGAGAAAGGTTAAGGAAGGCCTAATAACGAGGATACATATAGAAAAAACAAGGATACACATGGAAGAGTGATAGTAGGCAAGCTTGTTTTCTTTACTTTTACATCAAAATATAGGACTAGACGTGAATTTTCCTTATAATTATGGATCATAGAGTAGGGTTCAGGCCTGGATATCTATAGCAATGCATTCTAAAGTCCCATCTTGCATGTTGAAAAAAACGGCAAGAAAGACTAAACAGAACTGCAAAAATCATATGCTTTCAATGTACAAGATTTCTCACTATGACATGCATGCACCATAATTCCAAAAAAGTAAAAATAAAAATAAAAATAAAAATAAATAAATAAAAGAAAAAGTAGATACATTTGCATATCCAAACAATCATAGTTGAATCATGAATCTCAAACACATGATGCCCCAAAAAGATTCAAGTTCATTCTATAATTTTCAGGAGAAGGCAAAAAGTGCAGCAATTTGTGAGGCCATTAAAAGTTATTGAATACTCTAGAGATTACATTTAGTTATGTAAGCATAATCCATGTGATACTTATTTCAAGTAAGATTCCTTTCGAAAGACTAGTAAAGCCTTAGTTCAGTGAAATTTAAGACTAAAACCATTTATCTCTTGTAGCATGATAACAGTAAATAACTACAGTAGAGTTGATGGAAGAATTATCACATAACCTCAGAAATTCTTAAAACAGCAGAACAGGAATTCCTTTTGTTTAACATTTAAAAGTAAATGAACACAGAACACAACTATCTCTGGATTTTGACACAACTTAGAGGGAAGATGCAGAACCAAATAGAGACATATAACAGTAAGCATTTTTCTTTGTCTGCTATGCCCTGTAATTCTAATTTAAATTTTGAAATACTACCTCAACCATAAGAACTCCAGGCATTATAGGTCTATCTGGAAAGTGTCCTGGAAAGAAGTTATCGTTAATAGTGACATTTTTTATCCCAACAGCTGAGACTCCAGGTTTGTACTCAATGACTCTATCCACAAGAAGGAATGGAAACCTGCAGCGTGTGTGCGTGTGTGTGTGTGTGAGAGAGAGAGAGAGAGAGAGAGATTATTAGAAATAAACAAGAGAGATTATAAGAAATAAACACTGTTAAACAAATGGGGATTGTTCAGAATGATATAGAATTAGAAGATGAAAAAAAAAACTGATTCAACAATAAAAATGAAAACCACTAAGAAATACACTAAAATCTCAACAAATTGAGAACTCACCGATGAGGAAGAATGGCGCGAATTTGATTGATATCAAGCACAGATGGATATGCAGGAAACTCTGCAAAAACACCCAAATTTAAAATATCAACACATATGTCTACGTCATTCGTAAAACAAGGATAAAAGGGAAACACTTGCGTTTTTCAATGGGGATTTGTTCTTCAGCAGCTACAGCTCCATCTGGGTTCGAATGAACAGCGAAGTTTTGCATCTGGTTGGAGCCCTTGATACCGATAGCCAGCACTCGATCACTAGGCTTAGAGAGAGAAAGAAGGGAAGAGGTTTTCCTATTCAAAATTAGTGGAGAGAGACCCTGTGGAGTCCTGTGAGGAGCAGATGAAGATGGGAAATGAGGAGTTAGAGATAGAATGGATTTCGCCATGGTCGTGGCTTCCATTGTGGAGGCAGCTTGAAGTGGGTAGCAAAAGGGAGGAGCTTTGTGCAGAGAGAGTGTGTGTTAGAGGGCGAGCACTACGATAGTAACAGGGCGGGGCGCGATCTTAGCTGGTCTTGGTAAAGCATGTATCGTTCAAGTGGGAGCGGAGATTTCAAAGTAGGGAAGGTAAGGTGAAGTGAAGTGTGTCGTTTTACATTTGTTGATGCACACCGCTGGAATCGGTGGCAGTGGGCAATAGACCGGGCGGCTCCCTAAACCAGGCCCAAGTGCTAGAAGGAGTGGCCCGGTATGCTAGGCCCAAGACCTACACTTGCCCGGGTCCTGGTCCTATTTCTGAGAGTTGACCTGGCTTGCCAACAATTGGATGGGCCATGAACCTTGGGCTAGTACCTGATCCTAGTCCTGTAAACCGCATATGTCTGGCCTGCTAGATTATACAGTCTGCTCCGAGCTGCTCGGCCCATTTCCGCCTTTGAATTATTACTGAAGTCGTGTTTGTATAGGATTTTTAGGAAAATTGTTTCATGTGAGCTGAACCGCATTTCTATAATATGTAATCACAAGGTATAAAATATCCATCTTAAAGATGGATGCCAATAGGTGGTTCCTTTAAAACCAATTGAAACCAACAGTCAAAATGTTTTTTTTAATAGAATTGTTACTTCTAATTTTTAAAATTTATTTATTTTTTCATATTCATGAACTTCATGTTAGAGATTACATGTCCTTAAAAATTAGACAAAATTACATAAATATCTGTTATACTTTACGTTATTACGGATTTACATGTATATCTGTTTTTTATCTTTTATAACGTAATTTTTTTAAAAATACAACTTTATCTTTTTTCGGATGTTGAACAACCGAATTAGAAGGTTTTTCGGATGTTCAACATTCAAAAATAGGTCGAAAGTTGAACGTTAACATTCCTATTTTTGGGTGTTGAACATCTGAATTGAAGAGTTATGTCAATATATTGCATTCCTTGTGAAAATGGTTTCGGATATGGATGTTCGAAAATGTCATATTTTCGGATGTTCATCATCCGAAAATGACCGTGAAATTTCAGACTTTCTAGAAATTCAAAGTCATATTTTCAGATGTTGGACATCCGAAAATATGATATTTTCAGATGTCTAATATCCGAAATCATATTCGGATGTTGAACATCCAAAAAACCTTCAACTCGGATGTTGAACATCCAAAAAACCTTCAACTCGGATGTTCAACACCTGAAAATGGGAATGTAAATACTAAACGTTCAGCCTATTTTTCGGATGTTGAACATCCGAAAAACCATCCAATTCGGTTATTCAACATTCGAAAAAAGATAAAGTTGTCTTTTTAAAAAAAATGTGTTATAAAAGGTAAAAACAGACATACATGTAATAATATAAACTATTTGGTACATCCATAATAATGCAAAGTATTAACAAAAATATATGTAATTTTTTTAAAAATTAAGTCAAAAAATCCATCTCAAATATATATTTTTAAGAGGTGACTCATTTCTATAAAGACTCATAAAAACCGAGTTTCTATAAAGACTCATAGAAACCGAGTCCTTATTATAGGCAGTGCACATCCTCAATTTATTTTTGGAAAACTTAACAAAGTAACCATGGGAGATGCGTTATTTAACATTTCAGTTATTTGCAACTACTCTAAATCATGATCATGAGTACTTTGATGAGTATTTTGAAATTAAATTAAACAATACGAGCAAAATGTTAAATTGTTGTCCTTTTGAAGGTATTTTGTTAAAAGAATTGAAGTTCTTCACAAACATTTTTAATTGTAAACGGTAGTAGACGTTCTGTTTTTCCTTTAGACTTGAAATGGTCCTTCGTTTTTAGCTTTTTTTTTGTTTTTTTGCTGGCAAAGTATAACGTCCTATTTTCTTATTCTTGCTAAGTTTATCTTAACCTATTTTCTATTCATCATTCCCTATTTGTTTTATTTTCGTTGAGCTCACAAATTATTAGTCGTGGTTGCTTCTTAACTTCTTAGTTGATGTGCATTCACAAATCTGTATTTTGAATTGTTTATGCTTTTTTTTTTTTGAACTCAGCTCAGGCCACAAACTCGGCCGTGGACTGAGGCGAGCCTTTGCCGTGTGGACTCAGCTTAGCGTATAGGGTCCAAATGGCTCCAAAATAAAAATAAAAATAAATTGTAAAGTGAAATAAAATCCAGAGCAACATAAAAAAGTCCAAAAAACGTCAGAGAAATCTAAGATATGGATTTAGGAAATATTGATTTATGATTTAAACATTTTAGAAATTTTTTAAAAAAGAAGACAATGTAAAGATAGGAATATGACAAGAAATACTCATAGAACATTGTAAACATTTTTATATTTTTATGTTTTCTTTTTAATTTTGTTAAGTGACCAAATTGCACTTGAGTATGCCGCTCAGCAAGGAGCGGAGTTTGAGTTGTTAGTATTTTGGTTTTGAAAAATACTTATGCGTATTTCAAAATAACAATATGGTTTTTGTGGTTGTTTCTAAGTTGTTTTTTGTAGAGAGAAAAAGTGGGTTTTTTAGTCTTACATTGAATAGAAAGAGAGTAGATAGTGATATTTAAGCGTAAAATTTCTCATGCTTTATATTTTTAGTGCAAAGGTGAGGGAGATGGTGCATGTACGAGGAGCACGTGAAGCATGGGCGCTTGATCGGCTCACTTTGTGAGCACAATTTTGTGGGACATCCAGACATTCAATAGTTATCTAACCGTTATGAATAGGAGCTGTCGAGATTAAAGGGCGTGCATCTAACTTATTACCATTATGAATAGGAGTCGTCACGTACATGTAACTTATGACTGATGGTTAGCTCTATAAAATGGGGTCCTATCTATACGAGATAGTTACATGACTATTGGTTTGCTCTATAAACTGGGGTTATTTTCCATAATAGATAAGTCTTTAACATGAAACATCAGACTCTGATGTCTAATATGGGTTTCCAAGCTCGGGCTCACTTGAGATAGTCTTTAACAGGAAACAATGGTGTATGAGTTTAACATAAAACAACATGTAACTTGTGCTTGTTGGTTAGCTCTATAAAATGGGATCCTATTCCATAAGAGATAGTTACATGATTGTTGTTTAGCTCGATAAAATGGGGCCCTTTTACGTAAGAGACAATATTTAACATTTACCGACTCTGATATCTACTATGGGTTTTTAAGCTCAGATTCACTTGCCCCTAACTGGGCTCACTTTGTGAACCTAAATTGTAATGTTTGGTAGTGCATGTATTTTGCAACTCTCTCAATACACCTCTCTCCTAAATTCCAGTGAGCATATCGAAGCTCTCATCTCTAAGCTCGGGTGCATAGAGCATTGGAATATCAAAAGAGATCTCTATGTTTTTTTTTTTCCTGATTACCCTTCTTATGCTCATTTATTATAGTAGCAAAGGTGGCAAATATCCTCTTGAGACATCGATCTTGCGTGTCAAAAAATGAGAAGATTTCAACCTTCGATTTTCTGAATTTGTTTTGTCTTTTGCCCCTATTTCATCCATGAATTGATCATCTGAAGTTCAATTGGGTTTTCAAGGTTTAGTATGAGTTGGAATGTCCCCTGTTAACACCGCATTAGCTAATTTTTGCTGAAATTCATTTGAATTTATCTGGAACTGGGGGAATTTCATTAAACTAAACTGAGTTTCAACCAAGAACCATTTTGCTAATTTTCCAAAATTCAAACCATTTGAAGTATTTATCATTTTGCCTGTTTCAGCCTATTCAGGATCTAGAATTTCTGTCGCTATTTGGTGAATCAATTATGAGACTAGAAATTTAAAACATTGATTGAAACTAAAGCTTCGTCATCGTGGGTAGGTATCTTTAGGCTTTTTTTGTACCTCAAATTTTCTTTTCTATCTATTTCAACTCTATTGATCTATTAGGCTTGTAAAGGTGGGCTATCTATGCAAGACTTGATGATATTGGGAAAACATCTTCTTATCTCTTATTTTTAACTTCCATATCTTATGAAACCCAAGAGTTGAAAATATTATTTGTAAGCAAAATGTCTCCATCTTTTCTATCTTACAACCCTCCGGACCCCTTTGACCATTAATTTTTGACCCAAACAAACACTAACATGATACCCTATTCAAACTCCATCTCTCTCTCTTCATTTCTCGGATGAGTTTACAAGCCAAGAGGTTTAGCTTGAGCTCGAACACGAGCACGAGCACACCTTCTTATGTGTAAGAGAGAGATAGAGTTTTAGAGAGAGAGATAGACTTTGGGTCTAAGAGAGAGATGGAGTTTTAGAGAGAAAGAGATTGAGTTTGAGTTTTAGGGAGAGAGATAGAGTTTAGAGAGAGACGATGATGTGAGTGTAAGAGATAGAGTTTGGGTTTTAGAGAGAGATAGAATTTTGAGAGAGAGAGACGATGATGTGAGAGAGAGATGGAGTTTTAGAGAGATAGAGTCATTTTATAAGTTGTTGAGGTCACTAATATATGATAAAAAAGGTTTAGGGGTTTGGAAGACAGAAAAGATGGAGTCATTTTGCTTACAAGTAATATTTTCAATTTTCGGATCTAAGGAGATATAGAAGTTAAAAATAAGGGATAGTAGGATATTTTCCCATGATATTTTACTATAAATGTTAACTCGGCTCGGGCTTGGCTTGAGCGGATTTACTTGGGCGAGTTTAGGTGAGTAATGTGCAAAGCCACAAAAGCCCTAAAAATTTAGAAAATTCAAAAAGTAAAATAAAAATTATTATAGTAACATAAAACCAAAAACTATATAAAAAATTGCAAAGGTATAAAGAACATGCATTTAGCAAAAAATGATTACATTCCAAAAAATAAAATAAAAAAGGAAATATAAAATTTGCAAAAAAAATTACAAATCATTGTCAAAAAATCCAAATTACATATAAGATATATACATATTGATCACTATTTGATATATTTTTATGATTTTTTATTTTTTATTTTTTATTGTACCCCGAGTTTGACCCGAGTACTTAGCTCTACAAGGGACTGAGTCCAAGTGGATTCAGCCAACTTCTTGAACACTAATTAGAATCACTAGTTTTTCCATTGTTATAAGAACATTAATAAAAAATGATGCAACAAAAATCTCTTGAATCTTCCCTATGCTTAATAATCATTGATGCAAAATTGGATCTATAATAAGGAAAGAACAACCTATTAGAAAGCGCACTGTCTCAATTAGTTGAAAAAGGTTCTTTTACTTTATA